AATATTGTTAAATATTACATAATAATTATTCGATTCAATATAAATATATTGAATCTGTTATACTTATATATTTAATATTTATCTATTATATTAAAGACATTTGTTGTTAGAGCTGTAAGCACGTCCATTTTCTGTATCTAAACCACGTCCCGATTTTTGTAAATATTCAGAAAATTATTACAAATATCAAAGTTTCGTTATTTACCTGTGCTTCGATTAGCACGATGAATTACGCAGTATCTATATAATCAAACTTACAACCGAAACCGTATGCAAATGCAAACACCATGGTTCCATAAAGATAGACAAGTGAAATAATTAATATTAAAACAATTTCGCGACCGTGACACAGGAAATTACGAATATCTCGAATTTAAATGTTTAAAAGTAATATTCAAATTTTCTAATGGCCACGGTAGCCATTTTGGATTCTTCAATTGCGCAGTTTAATTCATTGTACATACTTCCCGGAAAAATTCTCGTTCGATCTTTGCGCGATAAATAAAAAAATCGCGATCATGCTTACAGCGAGATATAATAGAAACACGATAAAATCAAAATATATAGTAGATCATCACCTATTTGTTACAACATATTACCGAGTTTCACCACTTTTCCGGAGTGTGGCTGCTGCCATGGTGTCAGGGGGCACGTCCTTTCCAACCGGTGCTCTGAAACAGAAAATAAACGCGTTTAAACCAAGCAATTACATTAAATTACCAATGGTTACGTTACAAATAAATAATTATTGTACTCGAGGTGTCCCGTAAAAGATTGTAAGTGGAATCAGAAATGCGTAAATACTACAACGTAGACAAAGAAAGCCGTGAAAACCGATCACTTTGTTCCGTAATATCGAATTAATTTACGATAAATTTACTCGAAATTGAATAAATATTAAACGAAAGTAATGATAAAGAAATAACGAAGGCACTAATAGTTGGTATAAATGATTAGATGTGAAAGTAATAATCACGTACACTTCGATGGGAGCGAATTCACTTCACGTCTTGTCACTTCAACTTGTGCGAGACGAATGACCCTTAGGACGTCTTTGACTGCTCGGGTTGTGTTGATTCGGCTATCTTAGGTGCATCGTTATTGGAGGTTCGGTGGGTGGGGGTAGCTGTCCTCCCCGCCCCACTTCAATTTCTAGTTTAACGAAATAGAATATTCAGTACCATGTTACACGCCGTACGACCTTTTTTTTTTTGGGTATACCTTCGGTCAGCTCAACGAGCACTGACCCACCTTGAACGGAATAACAGACGCACAAGGACGATTTCTCCGAAATTTCATTTCGCAGCACTCCAATGTCAGAGCCATATTTTTCGTGCCTTTGTTTAACCACTCTTCGAAAACTTACAATCAAATGTACGCTACGACTAATGAATGAATTCAACCGCGTACATATCCCAGGCTATCTTCGAAAATTTGTTATTTCAATTCGTTTCGGATGGAAAGGAATTGATGTACAATGCCTAGTGGTATTTTTATTGCCTCTTTGTCAAAGTTTCGAATACGATGTTTTTCTGAGCACCATCTGTGATAAATACGTTCCGTCGATTATTTGACAATTACGCGAAAGTTTATGAAATACAATCCGACAGATACCACCAACGAAATAATAGGTAAAGGCTTTCCTTTATGGGGAAAATGAAGAAAATGCAAACCTGGATATATTGTGGAAGTTTGGTTAACTGAACTCTAGTTTTGGGTTGAAGTTCATTATATCATTTCTCGCAATAAATAAAATTATTTTAAATAAATGATGTTTAAATGAAGTTATGTGTAAAAATTCACCAATCGCCAGTAGGTAATGTATTCTTTGTATTAAGATTCTTAAATCACGTTATTAGATAAAAAATATATAAAAACGAAAAAAAGGAACGTATAAAATGTAACATTAGTAATGTTACATTACCAAAATGCCCATTTATCATGCATTTCGAACAATTTATCTTATAGATAAGTCGGAAAATCTATACTTTGACGCGTCATATATTATTAGTATATTAAGAATATTCAAGAATTTCAGCCAACTCGAACAAATAAAACTTAGAAAATTATCAAAGTTCCATTTATACCAGTATCCTGTCAAAATGTTCAATGCTCCAGCAACTATTCTTTTCTAATCCAAGGATATACAGAATAAGGAAAGGGATCTAAAGTAATTTTCAATAGTCTCATGTATCTTTATCTACATTAAAAGATTGAAAATACTAGACATTCTTACAAAACTTTCAATCTCATATCGTTTCTCAGAATAATCCAAGTTCGATGTAACATTGAACGTGGTTTTATCAGATAGATTTAAAGTTCGCAGCCGTTAGCTCGATATTATCTTCGGTTTACAATACTTTACCCATGATAATACCGATTTCCCAGGCCTCACCACGAGGAGGTTGCTGCGAGTGGAGGCCCAAGGCAGGTAGATGGAATCACAAGTTCTACATCTTCCCACCTTTCACAATATACCTTATAAATAACTTAAATCTTAACTATGTAATACTATCGGTACTGAAATCCCTCGGCGGATGACTTCTTTCTTGAGCCTAAACCTATAAAAAACTAAGTTCCCTCGTCGGTTGTCTTCGTTCTTCAGCTTAGAACTAATATTATCTTAATATTCTAATTAATACGAATTAATGCTATTAATACAAAATAACTTAAACTAAACGCAACGTAGTCGCTAATACTCAAACGAAAGAGATAGACGGAATGGAAAAAGTTCCATCGATCATTTCGTTCACGCACCTAATATTCTATACCAAGCAGTTATTATCCCCGCAAGGGAAATTGTAAGCCGCCGGCCAAAAGGTAGATTCAATAAATTATTTATGAAACTACATCTATTCTGAATTTATCTGTTACAAATATACAAATGTAAAGCAAGATA